AAGGCCACGGTACTGTAACAACACCTCACAGAACCAGTACAATCACTCACAACAATTTCAAAACTATGTTCAAGCAACCTATCTAAACTCATAACAAAATAAAAATAATTATTTTATTAGTTATCAACAGATCTAATTTTTGCTTGTCTTGCTAGTTTAAGCTTTTTTACTAAATAGGCAAATAAAAATAAAAAAGTAGCCTATTATTTTAAATACTTCAATCATAGCACTTCCTATTGCTCAGTCAAATGACTTTACTAATATAGATGAAAAATACACAGAAATTTGCTATTAATCAAAGGCTTTATACTATAAATATTAGGATATTTAAAAATACTGTATATATCTAAATTAACTATTCATACTTACAAATTGCATACTCATGATTACTGAGTAAATATATTATAGCTTAATACTAAAATTTAGCCATCAAAAGGTTTTCTATACTAGAGCATATTTACAAAACAAGAAGTTCTTGTAGATGTGAAGCTTGAACACCAAACAATATGTCCTTGCATTGCTATCACCGTTGTGGTGCCTAATCACCAAATGAATTACCATTGCAATGGTGCCTACTTATATAATAAGTCCATCTCATTTCAATGACACTTATTTCATAGATATAGCATTCACTGACAAATAATTTACTGACACTCAATTTACTGATCAATTCACCAACACTCAATTCACCAATAGTCAATTCATGGATAAAACAATTATACTAGAATTATGTTTAAGGTTAGTAAATTAAGCTTATTGGTAAATTGAGTGTCTGTAAATTAAGTATCAGTAAATTGATTGTTAGTGAATTGAGTGTCAGTGAATTGAGTGTCAGTGAATTGATTGTTGGTAAATTGTGCTGTTGGTGAATTGAGTTTGTTGGTGAATTAAGCTGTTGGTAAATTAAGTTTGCTAGTAAATTAAGCTTGTTAGTGAATTACAGCTATTTTCATAAATTCTGGGACACCTAAAAATTTTGTTTCCCAGAACCTTTTTGATCCTGTTTTAAAAATCACCTAAGTCCCAAGGTCAGCGAAGTAGTTTCTAAAAAGTTAAGTGATTCTTAGAATAGAATCGAAAAAGTCTTAGAAAACAAGAAAAATTTAGGTATCTCAGAAATTATGAAAATAGTTGTAAGTGTCAGTAAATTAAGTTTGTTGGTGAATTAAGTGTCAGTGGAATGAACATGTCAGTAAATTGATTGTGGTAAAATGCTGTGTTTATGAAATTAGTATCAGTAAAATAGACAGAACTAACATTAGCTATTATTTTATTTTACAAATTTCCTGTATGATATTACATAACAGAATTTTGAAAACCATTCAGACTATTATATTAGAATTATAATATTCATTGATAGCACTTAAGGGTGTGCCATTTATCATGTAATATTTTTTACTCAGTAGACACCCCATCCATGTATAGTGTGATCACCCTAGCTTGATTCTGATTGGCCGATTTAATTAATTATTAAAAATCTTCTTAATATTTTTAAAATTGA